CACTCCCCCTGCTTGTGTTCCTGCTCTCGCTGTCTCTCTCTGTCAAATAAATAAATAAAATCTTTTAAAAAAAGAAATCAGCCTTCTGACTCAGCCTCAAGGCACATGGGGCCAGGCCCTCAACAGAGGGTCAACTCTCTGTCGCCTTGTGTCCAAGAAACAGCACAGGAAATGCTCGGCAAAGAGATGAGGAGAGTGCACAGTGAGACAGGGCAAGGTGAGGGTATGCTGTCTTTCAAGGCACTGCGCGAAGGACAATATTTTCTAGGACTGGGGCCTTGTGTAAAACTCCAGCTGGTGCCATTAGGACCAAGAAGGGGCCGTCTGGGAATCATCAGTCACTTGTTCCCTTTGCTAGCTGCTGCCCTGAAGTCCTAGACCCCCACAGCTAATAAAGAAACACCCAGAACACTGCAGGTGGTAAAAAGTAGCCTGCCATTCCTCATCTTCTACCAAAGATGTCCAGGATAAATGAGTTGCAAAAGCTGTCTGCAACTCATTCTTCTGGCCACTCTCTGCAGCTGCCTGCCCCGCACCCCACCCCCCACCCCAGGCATGGCTACCACCTGGGACAATGGATCCCCTGCATATCAACACCGGAATCTGGCAGGGTAACGATTCGTCACCCAGTGTGGGTGCTGCTCTCTGAGTGAGCACAGGGTGCTGATAAACAAGAGGCATCCTTGGAGCAAGGCTGACCCCCACAACACAATCCCCCAACGAGGCCAGGGCGCCAGCAAGGACATTGGGACAAGTTAAGGTCCCTACTTGATGAGCAAACCAGTCTCAGCGAGGACGGCGTGGAAGCTCTGTTCCTCAGCATTACAGAACGGGGAATTCAGGATGAGAGCAAACTCCACTTCCTACCTGCCCTTGTGATCTTGGGCCAGCTACCCAAACCCTCCCAGCCTCAGTTTCTTCATCTGCAAAATGGGGCTAAGAATAGAAACTACCTGATGGAGAACTAGGAAGCTTATATAATACAAGTAAATTGCTTTGCCTGCATTGACGGCGCCTGCAACATTGTTAATACACAATAAGTGCCAATTGCTATTATTATCCTCATTTTCATCATTGTTGCAAGTTATCCCATCATAGGACAAGCAGCAATAGCTGCCAAACCTACCCTTTATTGAGACTTTAGTGCTCTAAGCACCAGCCCCTGTACTGGGAAACGTACACCCATTCCTCATTTTGTCCTCACTACATCCTTGCCAGGTTAAAACTGACTCAGGGGGTTCGGCGAGGGCCCAACGAAATGTCAGCAACCACTTAGTCGCTGTACTCCCCAAATCACTTCCACCAGACGGTAATGAATGATGATGAGTCATCACTCCTTCCCATCTAGACAGTATATTTTCATTCTGAAGAAGACTCTTTATTGGGACTTATAGCGGCAGCCTGATACCCTACAAGGAGCCACCAGCACAACGTTTGTTGGACCAGAACTGGCCCATGGGTAGAGGGCATCCAATCAGACACCATCTGGACCATGCGGCATGCCCTGATGAAACACAGAATAAATGCAGCGAGGGTGGAGAGATCAGTCCATTGTTCTCTATTTCTTTGGGAAGTAGGTTCACTCCTGAGTCACCACCTTCCACGTTGAGCAGGAGGGTTTAATAACTTGTGTTCTGTCCGCAGTTAGCCTTAGAGAAAGGTTCCTCTGTAAGCTGGGGCTCCTGCCACTCCCCTCCCTCCCCCTGCTTGTCACTCCCAGATGAGGAACGTAGGGTAAGCCCAAGGAGGTGAAGTTCTTCTCACGGCCCATCGGAGGAGGCTGGGTACCCTGAAGGTCTGAATCTCAGCCACTCGACAGCCAGATCTGTCTAATGCTGTCCCCAGTCATCCCCAGTCATCCCCAGCAGGGGTAACAAGATGGCGGATCACCAGCCATGGCCAGAACTAATGGTGACAAAGGGGCAGACAGACTCAGCCTGGTAGGGACACAGTTTCAGGGACTCCCTCCGCTGGCTCACAGGGAGGAAGGCTGGCACTAGGACCCAAAGGCAGAAAGGTCTTTTCTGAAGCTCAGAGTAGGGGGAGAACAGGACTATCACAAGCAAGGGGGAACCAGAGCCTGCCCCATGTGTCCTCCCAACCACCCCAGCCCAGGGTCCTCAAACCAGCACTCTGAGTGATCAAAAGATTTGCCCAGGCAAAGCTCACTGGGTTAGCCTTAAAATCACAGAGTTTCTAAGCTCTGGACTGGAACCTTGTGGAGTCTTTTATTATACAATTGGGGAAACTGAGACCCAGACAGAGAAAGGAATTCACTTCACCGAAGAGCAGGGATGCAGGCTAGAGTTGGATCGGGATTCAAGCCCTACCACGTGGGCAAGATCATTTGCCCTTTTGAGCCTCAGTTTCCTTATCTATAGAATGGGAATTAGAATGCCTGCCTCAATGTTTGTGGTGAGTTTTAACTGTGACAAGGCAGGGACAGAGGTCTCCATGGCGACATCATGGAGACTCTAACAGAGAGCTTCTCATTTCCTAACCTGGAGTCGATTCTACTGGGCTGCCCTCTGTTTCTGTCATTTATTAGGATCAATGGAAATGGGACTGGTCCATGGGATTCCAGCTAATATTTGGGGTACACCCTCATTCTCCTACTGAGACTCAAATGTGACTTTTCTCCCTTATGGAAGATCAGAGGACGACCTCTCTGCCTCCAAGGACCAGGACAGTCCAAAGAGGCAACTGTGCTTCTCCGGCCTCTTAGTGCTAAGGGTTGATTTTCATTAAGGACTTTGTTCCTGCCCCCAGGCAAGGGGAGAACCCTCCCCTCTCTCATGGAGACCAGAGCAGGCAGGAAAAGTTGGGAGCCACAGTGAATCCTCATAAAACTTTCTGGCAGGAGAGGAAGGGTCTAAATGTGCAAGTCCGTGGTTTTTTAAGCAAGCTGAAGATGTTTCTATCCTGGACAGAGCTAAAGTGCAGACCTGTGGTCCAGCCCCCAGAGATGGTGATGCCCAGAGAGAGATGGCTGCTGGAAGCAGCCCCCCGGCCTCATGCCAAGGTAAATTCCAAGCACTCTTAGGACCATGGGGAAGCGTGGGGGGAAGTGAACTGAAAGGCATTTACCCACAGCCCCCAAACTAATCAGAAAGTCAGAGGATGTAAACGGTGCCAGGGAAAAGGAGCTAATTAACATCGTCAGGACAGCTACTATGTATCAAGCACTTATTATGTACCAGGCCCTGTGCAGATGACTTGACATGGAGGAGCCCATCTAATCCTCACAACCACCTACGGAGGGCATCTATTGTGAGCCCCATTTTACAGATGAGGAAACTGAGGCTCAGAAAGGGTTCTGCACTTGCTTGGGGTCAGGCACGCTGCTCAAAAAGACACAGAGCTGGGACTGGCCCCTGGCACCTCCCTCCGGGGCTGCGACATCCTGCCTCGCCCACTGCTATGACACATTTGATACATCATCACCCCCCTTGTCCTTGTCTGGGCTCCCAAGCCACCCTCTGACTGCCACACAGGCCCACCCCACAGTGTAGTTCTGGTTTCTCTGACAGTGATTTCTCTCGACAAATTAGTAAATTGGCCTTCTGGTGTTGATATGTGTCATGAGTGCTATTTTAGTTCACTCGATTCAGGGCCAGTGCCCCCAGGGCACTGAGACCAGCTAGGCTCTGGAACTTCTCCTAACTGACGTCCATACAGGTCTCCTCTGGTTCTGGACCCTCGGCTGATTCCCGCAGTGGCTGCATCATGCACATGTGTGGACCGAATTCACCATGCCGCCCAGGCCAACCGTCCAGCGGGGCTGAGGCAGAGCTTCTGAGCCCAAAAGTCTTGACACTGGACACCGGGTTGGAGGTTATATGTGTGTGCAATTTCCCAGGGAGAGAAATAACAGATTTCATGAAATTCTCAAAGGGTCCACAGCCTCCCTAAAAAAAGTTTAAAAACCCTCATGTAAAGGTAAAGAATAGGACCGACATGTAGAGAAAGGCTCCCTGCTGAAGAGTTGAGGGATCTTGGATCAAATCATGTGTGATGGTGAAGCTCATCCATTCTGGAGTTAGGAAGAACCAGCTTCAAACCTTGGCTCAATGACTCAACAGCTGTGTGAGTTTGCCAAGTTCTTTGATGACCCCGAGCCTCTGTTTCCTCATCTATACAATGGGAACAACTCATCTGCACAATGGCTTGTTGCAAGAACCAAATGAGGTCATGCGTGTGGGTGATGAACATGAACAGGTGTCCAGTAAACATTGCTTATCATTTATCAGAGCAGCAACATGATCACCCCATGGCTGTGTTGGGGGCCCGGGGTTATTTCCTTCCTGTTCCAGCAGTCCCCCCTCCTAAATTCCCAGTCCATTAAAAGTCAGTGTCTGAGCTGCAGGACTGGTTGGGCTTTTTTCAGGGGCTCCCCTCTGACCACATCTAAGCCTGTTCAGCAAAATGGGCCTCTGGGCAGAGAAGATGAAACCTCTTCTGAAACCTCAAGCCCTTGATCACCAGAAAGTCCCATTTCTGCTCCGAGTAATAACCACTTTGTCTTTAGCAGAAATTCGTAGGAGCAGAATGTAAAACACCCCAGGCCATGCTCAGCCCAGTTTGAATCCAAATCCATCTTTGAAATGAAAGGTGATACGTGTTGACCTGAGTGGGGGGGGGAAAATTACAAAATTTAATCATAGATGCCTGATCCACAGCGGCCCAAGAAAAATCCTGTGACTGGGCAACTGAGAAGCAGAGAGAAAAAGCTGATGTTTCCTTTCATGTCCCACATGCTTGCTTCTCTCTGTCATCCCTACACACCTGCAGGCAAAAAGAGTAGGAACGTGGGACCAATGACAACAGCCAGTCAACCTCCCAGTGCTAATCACGCCCCTTCCCTTTGAAACCAACGAAACCATCCCGAGGGGTGGGAGTGGCACAGGTGGGAGGCGGAGGCCCCGGTTCAAAGCATCTCATGAGCATTTCTTGAGCGAGAACAAGGGAGTGTGCACCTGGCCGACAAGAAGGTGACTTACTTGCAGAGAAGTTGGCCTCGGTGTGGACAGGAGGGGTGGAGGGCAGGAAAGGTGCGTGTCCCACAAAGAAGGAGCGGAGGGAGCGCTCCGACAGGAGGGGGGAGCGCTGCTGAGAGGGAATGTTCTCGCAGCTGCCCACACTGCTGTGAATCTTGAGGTTCAAGGGTTTGCTTTTCTTCTTGGCTCTGAAAGAGAGACAGAAGAAGAAGAGAGGGACATGTATCCATAAGTGCATACAGAATGAGAGCCGGCAGACCCAATCTCGTTAACATGGCACCAACGTCCACTCCCCACACTGACCTGGCCCTATTGCGGCTTCTCCATCCCCCCTTCCCTGAGCTCCAGCCAGGGTTCTGTGCTGTTTGTCACCTGCAACCCTTTGCTGGTGCTGTCCCCACAGTCCAGAATAGCCCTCCCTTTCCCTGCCTGCTTAATCCCCATCTGTCTGACTCGGCTCTGGTGTCCTCTCCTCCAGGAAGCCTTCCCAGATACTCCCTTCCCTCCTTGCCTGGGTTGGGTGTTCCTCTTCAATTCGTCTACAGTATTCTGAGTGTATCCCTGCAGCTGTACTTTCCTATTTTCCCAAATTTGTTCTTTTAGTTTTTGTTTCGCAAGTGAACTGTGGGTCTTTTAGGGCAATGATTCTGTGTTGTTCATTTCCCTGTCCTTGGCAATTAGCACAGAACCTGGCACACAGTAGGTGCCTATTAAATGACCAATCTGGATTATGACTGGTACTTAATCGCACTGCACTCTAATTCCTTGAGGGCAGGAACCCTGTGGTTTTCGTGGCTGAATTTCTAAGCCCCTGGCTTGGCACCAGCTGAATGCAATGAACGCTGGAGCAGCTTTGGAAACACTTCTCCCCTTCCCTAGGAGCTTAGGTGATCAGTTTAAGGGAGTGTGATTTAGAACAGCATCCCAAACCAGCCACTCTGCCCTCCCCCCACCTCCCCCCCACTTCCCCGCACCGCCCCATGCAGGTCTGGCCCCGGAGTTGGGCGCCACCTTGTGGCCAAAGTGAACCCTCCTTGCAAATGTTCTCCCTTCTAGATGGAGAGCCCAGGAAGGTGCCTTAATTAAAGACTGGAGGCCTCCCACACACGCAGCCTAAAAGTCACCCTCTCCAGGAGGCCTGCTGCCCATCAGCTTTCAGGAATCCAAGTGCGCCTGTGGAGTCGCTCTCGCGGTGCTTGGGCTGGCAGCCCTGCTTATTATATCCCTAGGGGTCTGCAGCAAGGCCCAGGAAGATACCTTCCCTTATAAGCCACACACGTTAGCTGGCTCTCCCTGCCCATGGCTGGAGAAGAGAGGGAAACAAGGGAGCGGCATTTCATCCCACAAGAGCCTCCAATGGTGGAGATTCAAAGAGGCATCTACACCGAGGCAGGATAATTTTAGGGTCAGACTTGCCAACTTTGGGGTCAGGGAGACTGGGGCTCAGGTCCTGATTGGGACCTCAGGAAAGTGATCTCATCTCTGTGCCTCAGTTTCCTCACCTGGATAATGGGGAAAATCACAGCACCTACCTAAGAAGGATTCTGTGACAATTCTATGAGATAAGGTGCTTGGCACAGGGCCAGGCACAGAGTGAGGGTTCAGGTGACCTGTTATTAACGTCACTAGGAGCAGGTTAAACTGGGTGTCTGTATAGCATGGAATTAGCCTGGAAGAAGCCAAAAGTTGAAGCTGAGCCATGTTTTTCACCTGAAACATCAAGCAACTCTCAACCCACCACCACCCTTAGCAGATGAATAGGATGCAGTCATACCCTCTGGCAATAGCTACCGTCATTATTTCCAAAACACTGATGGGAGCCTTGAGGCACTGGGCCACCCAATGGCAAGGCCAGATCCCTTGTATAAGGAGAACCAAGTCCAACTCAGCACAAGTTTAACAGTAGCTCAGTGACTGCAGAGAGTCAATTTGCTTTACTAACTCAGGACCAGAGATGGAGCAGAGAACGGGTATATAAAAATAAATGTTAGCTGGACAGATGCATGGATAAAAAGCTGGATGGACAGATGGATAGATGGAAGGATGAATGGATGGGTAGATGGATGGATGAAGAAATAGATGGGTGGATGGATGGAAAGAAGGAAAGAGGGAAGGAAGGAAGGAGGGAAGGGAGGGAAAAAGAAAAGTAGGAAAGGTTGGAAGGGTGGAAGGACAATGGATGGATGATGAAAAGGACAAAGAATGGATAGATGGATCAATGGATAAAGAGATGGATCAGAGGATGGATGGATGGATGGATGGATGGATGGATGGGTGGATGGATGTAAAGGTTGAAGGATAGAAGGATGATGGATGGTTGGAGAGATAGATGTAAGAAAAAAAAGAGGATGGGAGAATAGAAAGACAGACAAGAGGAAAAGAGGGTAGGAGCAAGAGAAAATGGAGGATGAATGGCTATTTGACCAGAGTAGGTGGCACGAAATCATACATCACTTCTTGCCCACCAAGGAAGTCTTCATGGACAGAATGTGGGATTCACCTTTACCATCTGCCCTCATTACCCAGCATGCTCAAAGGAGAAAACAGACACAAATGATTGTCCAATGATTGTGACTGTGTAAGATTCAGAGCATATTTTGCAGTATATCCTGCAGGTGTAATTAAAAAGAACATCTCTCCATTATCACAGGATATTAGAAATTTATCACATAAATGTCTTCCCTGGAATCGGGACCAATTCTGGGGAAAGCAGCAAAACGAGGGGGCACGAAGCATCGGCGAGGGCAGCTCCATCCTTTGGGGCCGTATGAGCCCCAGGTGGACCAGGCTGCTCTCTGCACAGGTGGGCAAGTCAGAGCTCCCTGACATGGCAGGCTGTGCTGAGAGCATCCCCAGAGCCGGGCTCAGCTGGGGCTGCACGTCCATGGCAGGAAGACACCCAGCTCAGGGGCCATCATCTGTGCTTAGGGAAAATGCACGTTGTTTTACGGGGTACAGCAAAGGATTGTTCATCCAGGATTGAATTCAGAAGAATTTCCTGAAGCCTAATTTGCAGAGAATATGTCTGAACTAAAAGGATCCCAAGAACCCTTACTTCTTCAACTGATTCATTACTCTCCATCTCCAGCCGTCAAGCTCTGGTCCCCACTTTCCTCCCTCATTTCAGCGGGCACTGCCACTGTGCCTGAATCAGACCCCCAATCCCGCTTTCTTTTTTTTCACTTAAAAAAATTTTTTTTTCTTTACTTTTCATTTACACTGAGGTAAAATTCACATAATATGTATTAACCACGTTGAAGTGAACAATTCAGTGGCATTAAGTACATTCATGATGTTGTGCGAACACCATCTCTATCTAGTTCCAAAATATTTCATCACCCCAAAACAAAACCCTGTACCCACTAAGCAATTCCCCTCCATGCCCTTCCCTCCAGTCCCTGCTGGATATTTCATATAAATGGAATTATACAATATGGGAACTTCTGGGTCTGGCTTCTTTCGCTGAACCTAACGTTTTTGAGGTTCATCCATGTGGTAACAATGTATCAAAACTTCAATCCTTTTTATGGTTGAATAATCCCATCCCACTTTTGATTCTTTATAATCTATCCTCCACCCAGGCACCAAGGTGACGTTTTAAAAAGCATACACTGTATCACGTCACTCCCCTGCTTAAAAACTCCCAAAGGTTTCCTTTCAAAAGCTTCAAGGGACCCTCAAGGATCACTATCTGGAGAACTTCTTGTATTATCATCACTTTGTCACCCTCTGACTCTAGCCACTCTGGTCATCTTTCTGATTCTTCACCATACCAAATTCTCATCTACCTCAGGATCTTTGCACATGCTGTTCCTTCTGCCAGGAACACCATTTCCCATCCTGACTATTAGTGAGGACCTACTTTAGGCATCACTTCCTTAGAGGCACAGTCCTCAACCTTCAGAACTAGTCAGATCTCCAGGTTACATGCGTCCCCAGCACTATCTGCTTTTCCTTCACAAAATGCATCCCAGTTGGAATTCTGCTTTTACTTATGTGGTTGCTGAGTGAATGTCTATCTCCCCCATGGTTTGTGCCCACCACACATGGGATGGGCCTGTATCCCAGCAACTAACACAAAGCAGGCAACCCACAGTTGCAGAGCCAAGACCAGAAGCTAGGTCTACAGACTCCCACCCAAGCCCATGTGCTCCAACTCAAGCAAAAACAACCTGGCGTCACCTGTCTTGGGAGAATTCTAAGGGAAATGTAGCCCAGTTTCGATCTGCAAGTCAGGAGGGCTGGTTTGGCAGCATCTTCTCTGTTCATTCCAGCTATGGGCTCCCTGAGGGCAGAGACACACCTGATTTCTTTTGCCAGCCCCTGGCCACCCCCAGCCTTGGTCTGGCAGACAGACAGCTCTGCACTCCTAGGCTTTTGATCAATGCCCATTTGCCACCTCTCCCTCAGAGCCTTGGTCGCAAAGATCGCTGCGGGGGGTCCCAAACTGATGATTAGTCTTTGCACCACTTTCTCTTCTAAAAGCTTGCTGGGCGTTGAGTCAAGCAGAGCCGCTGGCTCACGTGGCCTCTTTACCCTCAGCTTCCCCGCGTGTGGGGTTGTGTCCCCTTGAACTCCAATGCTTCACCCGGCCATAAACTTCAGCATCTCATTAATGGTGTCTGGAGCATCTGGCCCAGCCAACTGGGAGGAAATGACAGACCTGGGGGCAGGCAAGTTCCTCGCAAGCGTGGCTGGAGGACAGACCCAGCACACATTCTCGCACACCCAGCAACCTTGTCCCCAAACAGGAAAAGATGCCCCTGGCCCTACACGGGGCTGTGTGAGCTGTCCCTCCCTCTCAAACAGGGCCATTGCTATCCATCGCAGTTGACGTGATCTGATTACCCAAAATAAGGCCTCCGGGCAAGACCCCTTTCAAAACCAAAGAACAGCACCACATTCTTGGGTGGGGAGGGGGCAGGGGATACGCACAGAGCCCAGGGAAGGAGAAGGTTTGGAAAAGCAAAGGGCCTGGTAAGTCTAACACCAGGAGAATGTTTAGTAGAATCTGTTCTGCTCCTTGACCACAGGCTACAACCCTCATTTCTGGCTCAAACACACCCCAAGCATGGCATTTAATCCACCTAAGCACTGGCAAAAAGAAGCATGAGTGGGTCAGACAGTGTAAGCCGCACTTCCCCAGTGTGGATGAATATGCAGTGCTTTCAGATGAGACACGGGTAAA